AAAGAAAAGATCGATAGTGCAGGAAATTTGCGATAACATTTTCAAATACATCGATTTGTTGGACACAATGACCAAGACGGCTTATGATGAAAATTAAATTTATGTAGCCGACAACTAGAATTAGGACATTGATTTTAGCATGGAGAAATTGAATTGTATCCATATATTGAGTTATAATAATACTTAATTTTAATAATTGTACTGGTAAAAAAAATTGAAGGTAATAAAAATTAACCAATTTAAATTTTACAAATTCCTTTTTATTAAATATATTTAATAATTTTACACATTGAGATCAAAACCGTTTTTGATAGTGTAACAAACACCTTATAAATATTCGTGATTACTGTATACAAAGTTCACTTTTGTTCATAGTCGAAGGTCAATTCATATAAATAGATCTAGTTATTTAATCATAATAATTGTGCGTAAAATAATACCGACACCTTAGTTTGGGCTCCAAACTATTTCAAATGCGATAAAAAAAAGAACTTTTGCAGGTATCGCCATAATACTATTTACGTCGAACGACGAACTCTTTCGTTTCGGATTAAAGGTAGACAACGAGGTTATAAAGAAGAAATCGGAGGTGCGGACACTTTGTGACAACAATTTCAAATACATCGATCTTTTGGACACGATGACAAGCTATTATGATTAGATATAATTCAATTGCAAAAAAATGTAAATCAATGACTTCTCGAGTATTATTCCGTTACTCCATATTTATGCCCGGTGCTTCAAAATCTTAAACACGGATCTGCCAAGAATCAAAGATTGTGAACTTAGTATATCTTTGTATGTGTGTGTGTATATATATGTATGACTGCATTGAATTTCGTTCGGCTTTATTCAATTTATGTTGAAATTCCGTTCGAGCTACAAGTTTGCATTTCTATTTTAATCTTGCGTTCATTCAGTGTGTCAATAATTGTTGATAAGATGCAATCTCTAAAAAAACTTTTGAACATTGGTAAGTCCCCATTTCAACATTAATTTACCGATTTAAATTTAATTATTTTTTAGGAAATTTGTACATTTTTTTCTATATTTATGGCACCTTTAAAGTAATTATCCATGCTGCTTTTAAAGCTTAAAAAGTAATTTAATTCTTTTTTAGCACTCAAAACTTATTGGCCAATTGCATTGGATTATATTGCTACCATTATCCTTAATATGCACCATTTTCTTGTGCTTAATGCTGATTATTTTAGCGATTTACTACGAAATTATCAATTTCGTGTTGAGGTTAAAGCACGGGGATGATTATTGTGGGATTATGGATGGATCGGATGTAATTTGGGTCGTTGAAGAAGAGACTTCTTCGTTAATCAAAACGCTCATCATGGTCGATGCCAAAGATGGGGAAGACTGTGAACCGCTTTTTGAATTCATAAAAAGCTCCTACGAGAAAATCGCTAAATCGCATAAGAAGATGAGCTGGGTTCGAAAATATTTCATGGGTTACGGGTATTTTCTCAAAACGCACATCAACATCCATGAGCATGTGAGGTATTTGGAGGACTACAAGGATGTGGAAGGATTAAACTTGCTGATGGATAAGTTGAGTGACTCCCCTTTACCAGCTGGGAATACGGCTCTGTGGGAAGTGTATGTTGGAAGGGTTCCTTTAAAGTGGGATAAGAATGGAGGTAAAGTTCAGTATCCAATTTTCACCAAGTATCATCACAGTCTTGGCGACGGAATGTCATTAATGACTTTGATAACAACACAGTTAATTGATAATGGGGTTAATATCATGAAAGAAAGCTGCGAAACTTACAGTAACGTTCTTAAAAAGTCGGCTTTGAAAAAATCTCAGCCTACTTTCCTGGAGAATGTAAAGAAATTGCTTAATAAAAGTTACTATATTACATATTTCGGTCTGCTGGATGACAAGGATGAAAACATGCTGCATCAAAAACGTTTAAGCAACGAAAAGCACATATGCTACTCCTTGGAAAAAGAGTCGACGAATTACGTGGAGAAAGTAAAATCTATCAAGAATCGGTTTAAGGGCATCTCTTTTAATGATGTAATTATGTCAGCGTTTTCCGCTAGTTGTGCCGAGTATTACATGTGTCACGACAAGGTAATGATGTCTGCAATTGAATGAATCTAGTTTACAATTCCTGTTCCATTTTGTAGAATCCTCCAGAAAATATTCGTTTCGTATTACCGTATTATATAGCTTCGACCGACTTCAATAGCATAGTGACTACTGGTACTAATGGGGAAATCGTTGCAAACTTGAAGAACAACTTTGCATTGGGTTTCCTCAACATCCCTATCAAAGACAAGGATATCGCCAGGAATATGGTGGACAGGTTGATGTGCATCAATAAGAATTCGACAATTTCTAAGGACAGTTTAGATTTTCCGGTAAGTCGAGAAATCTCTTTTCATTATTTCATTAAATATTGGTGCAATAATCTCTCCTTCTCTCATTTGAAACTATCTTTGATATCAGATCAAAATATTCATATACACTTGTTATGTTCTATCATTTTAATTAATTTAATGAAAATAAATAATATTCATTCAAAATTTGTCTGTGAATGACTTTCTTGAGATAATTTTATCTATTAATTATATAATTAATTCAGAAATACTTTAACTACTTTAAAAAAGTATACTTAATCTGCAAAGCTACAGATAGGTATTTTAAGATTAACATTTTACTAAAAGTAAATAATTAGAAATTATAATCTGATTAAATCTATAGAAAGTAATATGTTTTGATATAGTTATAAAACGCGACATGTATTTTGTATATCTTATTGAAAATTATTGAAAAATGTTCATGTAATATCATTCTAATTTCAGTTCGTATATTGGCAAATCAATGTCTTCTCGACTATTGTTCCGTTATTGGTAATAAAGGAAATAGTCAAATCGAATCACAACACGGTAGTTCTCACCAATTTTCCAGGAATACATAGTGTTAATCTCATCAGTGGCCACAGGGTTAGAGACTCCTTAGTCTGGGGTCCAAACGTTTCGATATGCGGTAAAACGAACTTTTCATAACGAAAATAATGTGATAAAATATTGAACTTTTGCAGGTATCACCTGCTCAATATATACGTACGACGGACTGTTTCGTTTCGGATTAGTTGTGGATAAAAAGACCATAAAGAAGAGATCGGAGGTTCAGGCAATTTGCGACAACATTTTCAAATACATCGATCTGTTAGATACGACGACCAGTGCGGTTCATGATGAAAATTAATTTTATGCACAGACAACTGGGATTAGGAAATTTATTATAACATGGGTTATTTGAATTGTATCCATATATTGACTTATAATAATACTTAATTTTAATAATTGTACAGGTAAATCTGCGTTGATGGTTATAATAATTAAACAATTTAAATTTTACAAATTCTTTCTTATTAAACATATTTAATAATTTTACTTATTCAGATCAAAAACATTTTTGATTTTCCGTTGTGTAACAAACTCGTTATAAATATTCGTGTTTGCTCTATACAAAGTTCAATTTTGTTTAGAGTCAAAAGTCAATGCATATAAATAGATATATTATTATTTATGCGTTATTTAATAGTAATAACTGTGCGTAAAATAAAGAGCCTGAATTTATTTTCCAATTATTAATATATTTCTGTGATATAGACACCTTAGTCCAAACTTCAAGCTATTTGAAGTCCGATAAACGATACTTTATTATAACCAAACTTATGTAAACTTTCAATTATATATTTTGGTACCGTTGCAGGCCATCAACTTCATTTTCGTTCCAGCAGCTTTTATGATCGTCAACAGCGAGTATCACACAGCGAGTTTCCCTTGGGTCTACATCAGAGGTTCCCAAACTTTTTTGTGTTGTGGACCACTTGCCATGTTTTTCGGTGTTGGGTAGACCCCCTTACTTGATATTGATTTTTTGTAAATTTATTATTTATATTGGGACATCTTTATAATTATTAAGATCTTTGCTCTGAGACTGCGCGTATGCTTGTAACAAGATGATACTGGTATATCATTATGTCAGGTTTTTACAAGTTCAAAATGTATTGCGACCACAAAGCGAATGCCTACATCCTACAACTTACACAATTTTATAAACATATATAATATTTTTTTTACTTCATAGGTACTTTTATAAATAA